CAAAAACCATTGGATTGTATACTTCCAATGGGTGAATTTATGTTATGTCAATTCTATCTGCATCTCAATAATGCTGTTGAAAAAATGAAATGGGCCAACGGCCATCTCCCTTCCAAAAGGTCTAGAAAGACTAGAGATGCTATATTTCTGTGGACCACGGGCATCAAAGGAGCATGAGCTGTGAGTCAGGCTGAGAACAATGGAACTGAAAGTTAAAACGGGAAATAGAGACTAGACAAGGGAGCAGGAATAAATGTGCCTAAAGTAAGCATGGAGAAGGGAGAGAGCAAGAAGTGAGAATGCCACGACTGACCTATGCAGAAAAAACCCCCAAAGGCCGGTAATGGCAACACCATCGGCATGATGGCTGGGTACCCAGGGCATTGCTTGTCTGCAGTGAGGGTTCCAGGCGTCCACCCTTCTCTTTACACCAGCACTGAGGGGGAGGTTCTACTGGTCCCAATTTATAGATGGGACGACAAAGTCAGAGAGGTTAAGTGTCATGGTCATGTTCGGTTAAGTGCCTATCTTTCAGAAACATATACAGAAGGATTTAGAACTGATAGAATTTCTGGAATGTGCTTTAAAAGAATACAGCGGGAAGGTCCAGGGAGGGATATGGATGAAACACAATGGGCCACGTTGATCATTGTTGAGGATGGGAGGAGGGCACGTGGACTGTTCTCTCTACTTAATGTTTGAAATCTTCCGTAAGACAATTTCCCAAGTTAAAAAAAAAAAAAAATCTTCATATGTGCTATGTCTTTCTGTGTCCCTAAGTTACCCCTCTGTCCTCCTTACCTATCACCTCTAAAACCCTATGCCTCTATACCCCTCTGCACCCTATACCCCCCTCCTCCACCCACCCCATCCCAATCTTATTCTAATTTACCCTTGGATTGAGACATTCCCCACCACCCTTTTAAAAGCTGCATCCCTACAAGTGTACACTCTCCCCATTTACTGACCTACTGTGTTCCACAGCACTTAGCCTCTGACTGCTTACCCACCAGCAGTCATTCATTACTAACTCTTGGATGGCGTTTACTACAGGCCTGACACGGTTCTAAGCTTTCTAAACACATACACTCGATCCTCCTAACAACCTATGAGGTAGATATGACCACACCATCTTTATTTTACAGAAGAGAAACTGAGGCACAGTTAGTCAATGGAGCCAGTTTCCCACCCAGGCTAGTCTTGCTCCAAGTCCACATTCTTACCCACAACTGCACAGGGGTGAAGGGAAGACCATTAAATCTCATGGACCTCTCCAGAAGATCAGCAGTCACCAAGCATGGAGTTGCTGCTGTGAGCCCGGTAACATCAGGAACACTGACACGGTGACTCCCCCAGCCCAAATCTTCATAGAGACCAGAATCTAAATTAAGAGTGAGAACCCCAGCCCCAGAAAAGATTTTATATAGGTCATAGACAGTTCAAATGATTTGACAATTGAACCATATTGTTTAAAGTACCCTTGGGACGTCCCTGGTTGCCCAGTGGTTAACACTTTACCTTCCAATGCAGGAGATGTGGGTTCATCCCTGGTTGGGGAGCTAAAATCCCACACGTCTCCAAGCCAAAAAAACAAAACATAAAACAGAAACAATATTGTAACAAATTCAATAAAGACCTTAAAAATGGTCCACATTAAAAAAAAAAGCAAACAAAAAAATGCCCTTAAAAGTAAGTATTTTCAGAAGTTCAAGTTTCCTTACCTACCAGATTTAAAGTGGCCGTCCTCAATTTCCAAACAAAGAGAGAACACAGGAATAACTTACATATATTTTTAGGACTTAGTTGTTCTCTGACCCACTATAGCTTATTGGAATAAAAGAATGTAGAAGAATATAAGGATTAAAAAAAATAAAACCCTCCACCCTCCAATTTTCATCACCTGCAATCAACCACAGAAAAGCACGTATTGAACATGGGTGCCATTCAATGTTACCTGCCAGAAAACGTTTGAGGTCTAATTTGCGTTTATCTCTTTTAATGACGGTAATGCTAAGGATCTAAGAAAAAAACAATTTTCAAACATAATTGCTGGGCAAACCACATCATGTGTAGTTTCCTCCAGGTTTTACTTATTTGCCATCTGCCAGTCATTTGTCACAGCTGACAGAAACAGGACTCTGAAACTTCCCTTTACACTATGAGAAGTCTTTCCAGCTCACACTCCATGTTCCAGTGAGAAATAAAGCATTCACTCAAAAGAGGATTATTAGCACTGTTTTGTGCATGAGAAAAGTGAGGATCAGAAAAAGGAAGTAAAGACCACACAGCAGGGATTTCCTGGTGGCTCAGAGGTGTAGAATCTGCCTGCCAATGCTGCAGACACAGATTCGACCCTGATCTGGGAAGATGCCACAAGCCCCGAAGCACCCACGCGCCACAACTACTGAAGCCCGTGAGCCCCAGAGCCCAGGCAACAAAAGAAGCCACCGCAATGAGAACCTACACACCGCATTGAAGAGCAGTCCCTGCTCGTCTCAGCTAGAGAAAACCGGCAGGCAGCATGAAGACCCAGCACAGCCAAAAATAAAATATAAAAAAATAAAGACCACACAGCAATTTGGCAACTAGTCCAGAATCCTGGATCCCTGCTCCAAAGCCTTCAGTCTCTCTCACCCCGGCTGGGAGAAAACCCAGTGCAGATGCTAAGCAAAAAAAAGAGTACCAATCAAATATAACTGTTATGCCAACAGAAGAGAAATTCCTCACTGCTCACTGTGTGACCTTGGGCAAGGCACTCAACCTATCTGTGCTTCAGTTTCTTTACAGATTGTTGTGAGAGCTAAATAGGTTGTAATATGCATATCTGAGTCTGGCACAAAACAGTCTAAAAGTTGGCTTTATCATCACCATCAGGTGATGATTTTTAATTTTAAATTTTATAAGAATTTACAGTTCTGTGTAAGACAGTCTCAATTGTATTTCCCAAACTCTTAAATGAGTCATCTTTCAACTCCTTTTAGTTAAAATGGAAAAGCCAATCAGAGGTCCTATTTGATCCATAAAAAGATAAAATATGACAGAAGGGCTCTAGTATTGCTCACGTTTATAACCTCTGGAAGGCTGGACATGCTTATCTAACAAGGACTGCTTAAATTTTAACAGTAAGGCAACCAACCATGCAAACCTCTCCTTTCAGTATTAGAAATATGAATCTAAAATTAGTACTAAGAGAAACTATTTAGATTCCTCCCTGCCATTATCCTGTGCTGTGTGTGACTGGTGTAGGAAACATTTCCAGAGCTCCTATCTTCCTCTGAAGATGTTCGAATTAAAATGCTTATTCTTGGATGCCTACCCTTGGCTCCGACAGAATTTTCCCCTGTCAGAAAACAAGAACTCCAACTTCAGGAAATGTTTTTGGAGCTAACTGATCTCCCAGAGAACATGCCCAATCAAATCTAACCTCCCAGGGGCTTCTCGGGTGGCTCAGTGGTAAAGAATCTCCCTGCCAATGAGGGAGGCCCGGTTGGATCCCTGATGGGGAAAGATCCCACATGCCACGTGGCACCTAAGTCCAGCGGGCCACAGCTACTGAGTCTGTGCTCTGCAACAAGACAAGTCACTGCAATGAGAAGCCCCCGAATGCAGCTAAAATAAGCAAAGAGTAGCCCCGACTGGCTGCAACTAAAGAAAACTTGCACACAAGAAGACCCCCGCAAAGCTATAAATAAATTTAAAAATTTTTAAAAAAAATTCTAAGCCCCCCACCCCCAGCCGCCACGACTTTCAACTTTCCTCAACTCTCCGAGCACCGCCCCCGCTTTCTACACGTCCTAAAGGAGTTGATGAACTAAGCAAAGTTCCCGTGCCCTGATGTCACACTCTGTTGGGCAGAGTAACTGGAGCCTGTGCCGTGAAGAGTAATCGCAACAAGAGATTGAGAAATAGACACATCTCACCCCGGCAGGCAACCAGGAAAACTCCAGCGCCGCGGAGAAGGTCCTCCCATATCTCCGCTACAAGCAAGGTTCGGTTAGGGGCCAGGAAGGAGGTGTGGTCGGTCTGCAATGCTAAATTTGTAGAAACCACCGAAGATGCTTTTCAAAACACCACCCTCCCTCCGTTATCTGCCAAACCACCCAGGGAGGTGGAGCACCTCCGATCCTCCCACGTCTCACGCGAGCAAACTGAAGTTCAACGAGGTTTCCTGATTTGCCGAGACCTCCCTGCTATTCGACTTCAGGACAGGGTCCAAGACACCCAAGTCGGCCGACCCCCAGTCCTTTGCACTTTTGCCTGCAAGCCTATTTAAAGATCCTTTCAAACTGCACTGCAGTAACACAGGGCAGCGCTTGATCATCCCCTTTCCTTTGGGTCTTCATTCCCACTGAGGCTAAATGACCCCTCTTCGGAAGGTTCTTTACATTCTCCAAGCTGACAGCACAATTCCGCAGGAGATCGGTAGCAAACCTCCCGCGCGGTCACCGGGCAGGCGGGGAGAGGGTGAAACGCAGCCGGCGCGTCCCCGCCGCAATCTCAGCAGGTGGAACCCACACCGAGCGCTCGGCCGAAGCCCCGTGCGCCGCTTTCCGGCTCTCGCCTACTTCGGTTAAGCCAAAGAAAGTGGCTGTGCCACCACTTTCTTGGGGCGTCTTGGGGAGGTGGTCCTCTGGAGTGCCCTCGCCATCTGGGTACGCGCTTCTGTGGAACCGAGAAAAGTCACCCGGCGTCCGGGACCGCTTCAGGCTCTGCGCTCACGGAAGAGTCTCTCTGCGCCCTCCGTGCCTGGCGGTCCGGCTCCTCCGCCCCTCCGGACCCAAGCCGAGCACAGGGTCACCCACCACCCCGCACCCCATCCCTTTGCAAGTCAACTCCGCAAAGATCTCCGGGGGTGGGGGGACTCAGCACTGCCCTGACCTACCTTGGGGTTCCCCCCGCACTCCCCGCTCTGCGCACGCCTCTCTGGCATCCCTCCCACCACCCTCCTCGCCCTCCCCCGCCTCCCGCGGTCCTCGCATCCCCGGCCGGGTTCCGCTCACCCAAGCGGCTGAAAAGCCAGCTGGGCGCCGCGCGTCGGCTCCTCTGCGGGACCGGCTCCGAGCGGCGTCGCGAGGTCACTGCGCCCCCCAGCGACCGAGAGAGGGGGCGTCGAAGGGGAAGCGGCGCCCTGACACCGCCCCCCCGCCCCATCTACCCGCGCCAGCCAAAAATATCCCGGGCTCCCGCAGCAAATCCGAGAAACGCCCCCAGCGGAGCGAAGCGCCACTTCCCCTCCTGCTGCTCGCTGGAAGGAACGCGGCCCCCTGCCCTCCTCCCGGCCCTGGACCCTGGGTGGCGCGGACTGGGGTCTGCCGGAGCAGCTGTGCACCGCCCCCGCTCTCCCCCCGGTTGCCTCCGGAAACCCCGCCCTACCCCTCGCGGGGGACTCGGATGGAACAGCGCTTTCTGGGGTGGAAACGAGATCATCACAGACCTGGCGGACGTCCACGCCCAACCCCAGAGTCCCAAACGGGTGGTCTCTAGCACCAGTGCAATTGCCTGAAATGATGATCTTAGCAATTTGGATTCAAGTCTGCGCTGCAAGCTGTGGGCCTGGCGGGGACCTGCAACTTACCCGGAGCGCAAGCCACGTCTCTCTGACCTCAGCGGGCTGCACCCCGCGGAAACCCACCCGGAGGACGCCACGGTCAGCATCCGTCCAACCTAATCGTCCTTGTCCGCTGGCAGCCAGGGTTTAGAAATCCCATCACAGCTGTGCCGCGGAGAGCACGCGCATCGCGGGGGAGGCTGGGGAGAAGCAACCAACCAATACAGAAAGTTTTCACAAATAGAAACCCAAGCCCTGACTGTTCCTACGGCCGAATGCATTACGTCCCACGCCACCCTCTGGGAGCTTCTGCGCCCTCCAGCAGCGCCCCCAGCGTCTCTTGGGGATAGAATCTCCCAGTTACCTGCCCGGGTAACAACACGAAGGTGAGCCAGTCCTGGCTTGCTTAGAAGAGGCCCTTCTGCTCCGTAAAACCAAACCCGCATCGCACTCCTTTTAGGTTCCTTGGCTTTGCCCTTTGTCAGTTCCAGGTTGTGAAACCACGTCGCAGGTATTTGGGGCTTTATTTGCCGGGTGCCTCTTCGGAACAACCCCCTCCTAGGTGCAGCATGGAGGAGTTAAGGGACAGCGCCGCATAGACGTGGCTTCTTGGATGAAGCCCTGAGTGCGAATCAGGATCACGAGCCAAATGAGTGCATGCTGTCAATTACCCGCTTTCTTTGAGGAGGTGGCCTGAGTGGTAGAGAAACCGCCTGCCAATGTAGGAGACATAAGAGACCGGTTGGATCCCTGGGTTGGGAAGATCCCCTGGAGGAGGCGATGCCAACCCACTCTAGTTCCTGCCTGGCGAATCCCATGGACAGAGGAGGCAGGCAGGCTACAGTTCATAGGGTTAGGAAGAGTCCTACACGACTGAAGCGTCTTAGCACACACTGCACTCTTGCCCAGCCTAGATTGGCATGACCTGAAAAAACTTGGGACACTTGGCATTCTGTCCCAGGAACTCAAATCCACTTAAGCCCGGCTGGGAACAGTTTGCTTTAAATTAAATCAAGAAGGAAAAGGGTATGGGGTGTGTACTGACATCTGAGTCTCTGCTATGTGGCAGGCACTTTTCCTAATTATTTTAGCAATCCTAGCAACATCCCTGAGAATAACAAATCATTTGTTCCCTTTTCACAGAGGAGGGATCTGTGGCTAAGCTAGGTTAAGTTACTTGCCCAAGGTCACACAGCTAGGAAGTAGCAGAGTCAGGCTTTGAAGGCAGGTATCTAACATGAAACTGTATCCAGTTGCCACCAGTCACTAGCAAGATACAGAAGAAGAATGAAATGAAGGGGGCCAGTGTCATGCAAAGTAAATCAGAGAGTCTACTAGTCAAAAAAACAAAGCAAAAAACAAACAAACTGTGTCAGTGGTAGACTGCACAGAGTCTTAGATAAGAACAGCCTTCTTGTAGGGAGACTAGGAGATTTTAGACCAGGATGGTATGGTTTGGTCAGTTCCCTCTGAAGCTACTTTGAAATCATCTTTACTAATAGGTGGAGTGGTATATGGCAACCCACTCCAGTACTCTTGCCTGGAAAACCCCATGGATGGAGGAGCCTGGTAGGCTGCAATCCATGGGGTTTCGAAGAGTCGGACACGACTGAGCGACTTCACTTTTACTTTTCACTTCCATGCATTGGAGAAGGAAATGGCAACCCACTCCAGTGTTCTTGCCTGGAGAATCCCAGGGACGGCGGAGCCTGGTGGGCTGCCGTCTATGGGGTCGCGCAGAGTCTGACACGACTGAAGCGACTTAGCAGCAGCAGAGAGGTATATGGGCCTCCCTGGCGACTCAGATGGTAAAGAATCTGACTGCAGTGAAGGAGACCTAGGTTCAGTCCCTGGGTTGGGAAGATCCCCTGGAAAAGGGAATGGCAACCCACTCCAGGATTCTTGCCTGGAGAATTCCATGGACAGAGGAGCCTGGTGCGCTACGGTTGGGGTTGAAAAGAGTCAGACACAACTGAGCAACTAACACTTTCACAGAGAGGTAAATAGACTGGCCTATGCTGTGAGGGGCATCCTATAAATGTGAATATCCACATTCCATGTCTAGTCACTGACAGAGGAGGCCCACATTCTAGAAGAGTATCTCTAGAACCAAGAAAGTTAGAGGACAGATTTTCTTTTTCTTTCTTTCTTTTTTTTTTTTTTGGCTGTGCTGGGTCTTTGTTGTCACATGCTTTGGGCTTAGTTGCCTGGCACAGCACGTGGGATCTTAGATCCCGGACCAGGGATCGAACCTGAATCCCCTGCCCTGGAAGGCAGATTCTTAACCACTGGCCCTCCAGGGAAGTTCCCAGATTTTCCAAATTAGGAATACTCATGGAAATCTGCTCTATTCACCCTTCCCCTTGCCCCACCACCTCCCAGCCCCCAGGAATTTGGAAGTAGAATTTCCCAGGCACGAAATGCTGAGGAATAGCCTTTCCAAGACTGCCTCATCGACCGGTCAGTCCTATGAAAGTCACAGGTAATTACAAACCAAGAACCACGCAGGAGAAGCAGAGGCAGATTTTATTTTTGCTGGAGAAGATCGTCTTCCGGGTCGCAGTGCCCCCCAGGCCCCAGGTCTCAAGGGCAGTGAGAGCGAGTACCAGGAACGACTCACAACTTCAGCCAGCCGGGCTCCCACCAGCGCCCGCTGGTCACACACACAAAGTTCCTTTGTGGCCAGGGCGCCCTCGGAGGAGACTAGAAGCCTGGCAGCCGCCCGCCCCAACCCAGCCAGGCTGCACAAGAAGGGACTTGAGCTAGCAGGAGAGAGGCGACCCTGCCTTTGAGCTCAGCTGACAGAGCCGGCCAAGGGGAAATCAGCCTCTTGCAGAACAGGAAGGAAGCAAAAGGAGCTGAGATGAACAGCAGGAGGGGCTGCAAGGAGGAGCCTCATGGGCTCTGTGCCCCGCAGATGGGCAGGGAAGGAGGGGCGCGTGCCAGGGAGTGAAAGAGACAAGGAAAGCGGCATTTGGCTGGTCTCCCTTTCTTTTCCTCCCGTCTGTCTGCCTGAAAGATACCCACTCTTTTTTTTAAATCCACAAAACCCCAAATTTGTATGGTTTCATTTACATGCGGAAGCTAGAATAGGCAAATTCATGGAGACAGAAAGTAGAAGAGAGGGAACCAGGTCCTGGGGGAGGGGGAGGGGGAGCTGTTTCCTGTGTACAGAGCATCCGTTTAGGATGCTGAGAAAGTTCTGGAAACGGATGGTGCTGATAAGCGGTTGCACGTTATCACAAGTGTACTAAATGCCACTGAATTATAGTCTTAAAAAATGGTTAACAAAGATTGTCCAACTTGCCGTCTTCTTTGATCTATACTTCATGCCAAGTGACTCGGTGAGACTGGACTCCAAGATTTTTGAATATTCAGTCAAAATGGACTGAAAAGGGGAAAGTAGTTTCAATAGTAAAGGTTATTTTAGCTTTCTAGGTGGCGCGGTGGTAAAGAATTTACCTGCCAGTGCAGGAGACATGGGTTCGATCCCTGGGTCAGGAAGATCCCCTGGAGAAGAGAATGGCCACCCACTCCAGTCTTCTTGCCTGGAGAATTCCATGGACAGAGGAGCCTGGCGGGCTACAGTCCATGTGGTCACAGAGTCGGACATGACTGAGCACTCACACATTCATATCTTACCATAATAAAATATTTTAATATTTTATTGCATTTTATAATAATCTTATGTATTTTATTGTGTTTTATAATAAATACATACATGTGTATTGAAAATCTACTATTACAAGGCTTTCCTGATTAAGGAAAATGGTTAAGTCCATGGTTAAGACTCTGCGTTTCCAATGCAGGGGATAGGAGTTCAATCCCTGGTTGTGGAACTAAGATCCCACATGCCTAGTGGCTCAGCCAAAAAATAAATACAATATTTTAAAAAGAAAAAAGAAAATCAACTATTATAATGTGATACTCCTCTGGAGTGAAAGACCAGGTAAGAACAATACACTAAGAGAGGGGCTCTGAGCCCTGGGTATTAGTTTCTTAAATTTTAATAAATCTTGCTCTCTTTTGCTTTCATTGAGAGGTGCCACTGCCCAGCTTTCGGGTTGTTTGTGGCACGTCCCCCATTCAGAAGGAAGAAGAGACCTGCCATGTTCAAATCAGAGCTTTGTGAGGCTCACAGAGATGCCACACCCCGAAAGAGCCTCTTTACCTTTAAGGGACCAAAGCAGTTAAGACAAAAGATAGAGACTCTGCAGTCCCACAGCAAACCCTGATCCGCCGGGTAAGCGTGTTCTACTGAGATGTTAGGATGAGGGACTGTGCCCTTGTCTGACAGATAATGAGAAATTCTTGTCCCCGAGTCCTCCTCCTCCTCTGTCTTCATTACAAAGTTCCTGCTTTTGCTCTTTGAAGATGCCCTTAGCTGGACGAGTAGAACCGGAAGCTTCCCCTGTTCTGTGGTCTATTTTTATGATGAAAAATGTGGTATACATAAAAGTCTGACGTCTCGCATGAGAGCAGTGGTGAACAGTTATTTGCATTAGGGCTAAAAATATTAAGTTGTTGGTATTCTGTTTTGCCCACTAGATTGTGGCTCCAGGGGACCTTATACATTTCTGAATTCCTTCCCTCATGATGCTTC